GGGCGCGGAGCCCGCGGGTGCCGCGCGGGGAGCGAGTTGCGGGTCTCGGGGGCTGGAAGCGCCGTGTCTGGAGCCAGTTTGGTCTCGTCGGAACCCCGTGTGAGGGGTATCCTGCCAGGACCGCTTCTGTTCCCGCAGTAGCAGCCCCTCCCGGTGCCGTGTGAGTGGTACGTACAGACCCTGTAGGCCCCTTGTAGGTACCTTATGGGCTGTAGGGAGCGCCCCGAGGAAACAGGCTGGTTAGATGTCCTGAAGCCTGGGTATTCCACAGGGTTTATGTGCTGGACCTTTAGGGCTCCCTTATGCACTAAGTTTTACTATGTCCCAAAAGGAAAACCTTCCTCATGCCTGCAAGAACTTTCTTTCTTAGAGCCTTAGAAAAGTAAATGCAGAGACTCCAATAGCCAAATGTATCGGAGAGAAGTGTGCACTGATGCTGATCCTTCTTACTACATCTCTCTCCAGTCTACAGGGCTGACAACTTTTTGCTGCTGGTACATTAGTTCTCAACTTGCCCCAGAGCCTAAGAATTAGAGTCATCCCTGACAAAATCAGGGATGGAGATCAACGACGGCAGGAATAGCCACTTTCTTCTGTGTCTGTTCCCTTGTTTGCTAAAAACACCCTTCTGCAGCTGTACCTGCGTAGTAGGTGGTGGCATCAAAGCTGCCCATCCGTGCTGCCTCCTCTGTGGTGGTGTTTGCAGCAGCAGGGGTCTCCACGCACAGGGATGAAAGTGTTTTTGTGCAGTGATTTAACTATGAGGCTATGCCAAGTGGGGTCCCTGTAGGTCAAATGTTTGACAGCTTTCTGGGGCAATCCTGCTTGTTGAACCAAAGAAGTAGGAGCCTTTTGAATACAGTGTCTTCAAAAGCAGAAAGAACAAGAGTAAAAAGAGAAAAAGGAAAACTGCTGGAATAAAAGTTGTGGTAAATATTCTCATTTACCATGCAGACAGGTAAGCTGTGTTGAAGTACTGTTCAGAGATGCTTGTGAGAGGGAAACTCTGCAAAAGACCACGTGAGTTGGTGTGGCTTGTGCTCACAGCACCAGAGTAAAATTTTCAAGAATACAGAGTGTTTCATGGACCTGATAGGCAGTAGTGCAACTTCAGAAAATGTGTTTATTTTATATTAATTCTGCTGTCTTCTGAAGAAGCCATGAGCAGCAGATGATGGGATTTTGTGAGCCATTTAGTTTTTTGTGCTGCTGTGTGTTGCCTTGGAGGGTGCTTCCTTTTGATGGAGAACGGCTTTATATATAGTTTATATATATATATATATATAGTTTGACACACTTCGAGCTTGATGCCCACTGTGTGCATTCTGCAGCATTTAGGGGCTGTGAAAAGGAAGAGTAGCTAAATATATCAGCCATGATGTTGAGTGACAAAGTATTTTGTGTTGTTTTTCTTCTTTAGACTGTGGGGATAATCATGTTGCTGAGATGCACTCAAATATCACAGAGAAGGTGTATATGCGCTGATCTGAACTAGCAAAACTAGTGACATAATTCTTAAATGTATGTATTTAATTTTTTTTTTAACACCAGGAACTTTTGTCGTTGGCCAAACGGAAACGCAGTGATTCTGAGGAGAAGGAAACTCCTGTGAGCAAACCTACAGCGTCTTCAGACTCCGAGACATCAGATAGTGATGATGAGGTGAGTTTGTTGTGTTATTGGTGAATTTACTGTGGATTATATTCTGGCTATATGTTGAATATATGTAGGTATACCCAGTATATTTGGTGTGCTGACTTCATAAAGTTGAATTGATCCTCAGTGAAACTGATGAAGGCTCATTAAACCCTGAGGAATTGTACTCAGAAATACGTTTTTTCTTTTCTTGTAATTAACAAGCCTAAAGTTGTAACTGCATACAAATTGTGTGAATGTCTATAGCAAAGTTTATTGGCTCTTCAATGCAGTGTTTGTGGGTTTAATCCCATGTTCTGAATGATTTGGTGATCTGCCTGCCATTGGTGTTGATTTAGGTGAAGATGCAGCAAGGCAGCTGAAGCTGGACCTTAGTAGAGAATCTCTCTCCCTTGAGGTTTAGAAGAGCATCCTTTCTCAGAGGAGAGAAGGGCCAAGACAGGTGATACTATTTTATAGGTGCTGAAGCTGTCCTGCTTAGCCAATTTGATTCTCAAAGAACTCTATTTGAAACTGTTTGTCTGATCATTTGATTGTGCAATATAGTGTGTTTTTAGTGGTTTTTGAAGAAAGTGAAGAGACCAAGAGTTTAGAATTACTTTATGCTAGAATTTTGTCCACTTGTTCTGTAGCAATGCTTAGTTGTTAGATGTGTTTTTGTTATGTGTTCTTGGTGTTAGGTTCTAGAGCTTGTTAAAAGGGCTCATCAGTACGTGAAAAATGAAATCGACTCATTAAAACAGAGGACTGACAAACTGGTCGCATAGCTCCTTAAATAAAAACATTATCTTAAAGTGCTGGAGATGTGGCTGTGAACTTTCCCCACAATGCAGAGAGGTTTCTTTTTATTTATCTTATTTTTTTTTCTCTCCTCTTTGATCTGAAACCACAGAAAGGGTTATTCTGTGACATCTTGAAAACCAACAGCATAGACAAAGATAAACTATTAACTGCTAAGCATTTGGGAATACAGCAGAGCTCTTCCAGTATCAGTAAATGTTTTCTTACGGAGGCATATTTGAAATTGATA